GTCATGGGGGTCTGGGGCAGCAGGCAGGGGATGGGGCCTGGCAGGGGTACCCCCACAGCCCCTCCCCGCTCCTCCAGTCCCCTCTCCCCCACCCCCTACTTACTGGCATGGAGTCTGGCTCCGGCTCCCTGCTGCAGCATGTGGGGACTGCCCAAATCATTGAAGCTCTCCGAATCTATCCCGAAGATTCAGAGAGCTTCGAATTGATTCGGACTTTTTTTTTACTGGTCCTGATTCATTTTGGATTTGGAGATTCAGCCACCGAAGTGGGCCGAATCTCCTCCAAATCGAATCAGCACCCGAAGCTTTGCAGAGCCCTAATGTAAACTTGTTTCAAAATATACCCTCACCTTTCAAATTTCAAGGAAAAAAATTCACTGGTTTTGCCCCACTCTAGTTATGCAATTATATGAATACTTAAGCATAACTGTCTTGATGCCAACATTAATTTATTTTTAAAGAGTCCTAGTGTCGCTGTAGTTGTTATGGTTCCTAATAGGTAGTGTGATCATATGTCCTGGTTTGGCTGGGACCGTCCTGGATTTTATAGGCCAGTCCCTGCTGGTTGGGGAAAACTAAAACTGAAGTCCCAGAATTGCAGAGGCATGGGCACAGTCTAATGGGGAGGCAGAGCGGCATGGTATGCCAGTCATGTGGGTGGCAGGCACCATGGTAGAATGCCACTGCCTGCAGCAGTGCTGCTGACGTGAGAGAGGAAGGGGGGCAGTGTCCCAGATTTCCTTAGAAGTAATATGGTCACCTTACTAATAGGATACGGATTCATGTTTCTAAAAGAAATTCCCTAACAAACCTTCCTTTTAAAAAACATTAAAAAAAATATTAGGAAAGATTCCCTCAGTTATACTAATTTTAGATCTGACAAGCGTAAACAGACAGAATTAGATGCAAAATACTACTGCACTGAAGTCGGTGGGTATTTCATCCACTGGATTAATCATCTTTCCTACACCTTTTGTAAAAATGAGTATGATCTCACTACTATGTGGTTCTGTGCATTGTGATGTTAATTTGGTATCAGCTACAGTTTGTGAAATGTATATTGTACAAGTTAAATGATAAACAGCTAAATCCATCACCACAGGAAAAGGTACCATTCAGAAGCAAATTTTTTAAAACCAGAATACAGAAGATAGATAAAAATCAGCTTTTGTTTACCAGTGATAATTGAGACTGTTCAGCAACTGCATCTGTTACGCTGCAAGACCTTAATCTTGATGAGGGATCTCTTTGCTGAAAACAAAAAAAAAAAAGGAAAAATGTTCTCAATTACACTACCTTCAACATAGGATTCATATTTAATTGCTTTCATTTCTAGTTTTCAGCATTTTTCCTGCAGGAGAAATAAATAATTCTCATCTTGCAACCTCTCTCTCCTTTATGTATCTATAAAACCTTGGCAAGCAGTCAAGAGCAGGTTTCTCTTAAACCCTCGGCATTCCAATCCTTGGCCGTCTCTTTTTTACCTTGTTTTGGATTAAATGGGAAAGGAAAGTAGTCAGCTATACATCTTATACTCTCATCTTTAATAGTCCAGTTTTACCAACATACTTTAAAGGATGGAGGAGCTGGATGCTCCTCTACTTCTCTGGGAAAATGCAGAACAGATTCAACAGCCCTGTAAAAAGCGGGGGGGAGGGGGAGCTGGGATTTGGGGAAAAGGGGACATACCTAAAGTGAATAATGAGTGAAAAGTATCACAATGCCTCTGACATCAAGTAGCTCCAAAAAGACAGCTCAGCGACTATGGGAGTAAAATGCCAAACACAGTAGAATGTTGATTATCTGGAATAATTAGTGCCACTATCATTCCGGATAATCCATTTCTCTAGAAACTCAAACAGAGCAGCATGAAATGGTACAAACTATATTTTAATTATTGTGCAGCAAATATTGAAAAGCAAAAAGAAATAAAAAATGTTACCGTGTAACATTTTAAACTCTCAAAGCACTACTAAATAAACAACATACAGTTGTCTCATCAACCAGCAAAACCCAACTGTGGCTGGATGCTTTTGTTACTATAAAACCTTTGGTGAACTGACTTTCACAAAACTCAGCTTCCAGATAATCAGCTCTCTACTGTATAAGAAAGCACAAATGTCTGCAATGCAGCCCCTGAAAAATTCCCTCTCCCTTCTGGAGATTGCCTGCATAAAGCTCTCTGTAGGAATGCACATTTATTGTCCACAGAAGGGAACGGAAAAGTTCTACTATCGTTCAGGGACGATTATGCACGCAAGAGGTTTCTGCGTCACATGACAAGAGTCTGCAACCTCTGCTGCAGAACATAAACTGGGATACTGGCCATGGCAGGGCTTTGCTGGTGTCCTGGGTTGGCAAAACCAACATATTTTTACATATATTCCTGAGAATCAATTCTTTAATAGACACTAGCTTTAAGAACATACACAGGTTTGAAATGTACAATCAGCAGTCAGTGACTAATGGAAGAGCACTTACTGGTAATATGTGAGTGACACAAACCCGAACACCCACTAATTATGGGGATTGGGGGACTATTACTCTTAATCCTCTATCTTTCTGTTTAAATTGTACCAACAACCATACTACTTGTAACAAAAATGATACAGGAGATGCTGTAAATGGTGTTATTAAGCATGTGTTTTTCCTGTGCGCGTGCTGCACTTTCTCTTAGGAGAAGGTTTTCTTCTATGCTTTTATCAGCTGCTGCAGAACTTGGTAGAAGTAGTGATATTCTTATCTTCAATCAGCACAAATGACCTTCACCTTGCACTGTCATGCTAACCTTTTGTCTTAAAGAAGTAGTTCATTTATTTATAGTTATTTTTAAGATAAGGATCACCAATCCCAACAAGCTCTAGTCAGGTTGCAGTGCTGCTGTAGCCACAATCGTCAAGGAAAGGTTGTCTTCAGTACTATATTAAGGGCAGTGACAAGGCTACACTGATGCTGGGCACCCTTGCATTGGGAGTGGGGGTAGGAGGAGGTGTTCCTAAAGCAAATGGAAATGATGTTTAGTTACTCGTGT